TCATAAACGTTACTTTGTCACAAAGTGATGCTAATAAACGTCCTTTAGTCCAACCAACGCTATATAAAAATGCATTTCTTTCGGAATTTGGAAATATTGTGTCCTAAGAAGTTTGTGGATGGTAAATTTAATCTGCAAATGTGATCCCTGTCACTCTGTTAAAAAAAAAAAAAAAAAACTTCTTCCAACTGATTATTTTGGCTCGGGAATTTCTTTTAACTCAATCAATGTAAGAAAAATACAACAGACGTCCCGGATAAGATCCTGAACGAAGATATTGAAATATCAATTACCACGGTCACGTACAACTGTACCTGTCGCATTGAGCCACGAAAAAAGACTATGACGACTGTGGTTACCGGTTACAAAATGTCTTACCTGTTCGCTTACCTGTAGTCACTCACATGTTCGTCCACACACTCTGACATACCCTATACGCTATACGTTCCATATACAATTATTTTTGAAATGACCCCTGTATTTGCTTGTCTGGGTCTCTGTCTCCACGCTACGTGCTAGGTCTATCCCAAAATGAAAGAAAGGTCAAATACTAGACTACCGTGCCTCCCTTTGATCACTAGCCTGGCGTCGTACCACTAGACTACCGTGCCTCCCTTCGGTTACGAGCCCGGCGTCCTATATGTACCACTAGACTACGGCGTCTCCCTTCGGTCACGAGCCCGGCGTCCTACCACTAGCTACGGTGCCTCCCTTTTGGTTACAAGCCCAGCGTCCTACCACTAGACTACCGTGCCTTCCTTCTGTCACGCGCCCGCGGCCTACCACTAGATTACCGTGCCTCACAGCCCTTCTGTAACAAGCCCGGCGTCCTACCACTAGACTACCGTGCCTCCCTTCGGTCACGGGCCCGGCGTCCTACCACTAAACTACCGTCCCTCCCTTCTGTCATGAGCCCGGCGTCCTACCACTAGCTACGGGGCCTCCCTTTTGGGTACAAGCCCAGCGTCCTACCACTAGACTACCGTCCCTCCCTTCGGTCACGAGCCCGGCGTCCCACCACTAGACTACCGTGCCTCCCTTCGGCCACGAGCCCGGCGTCCTACCACTCGACTACCATGCCTCACGACCCTTCCGTCACGAGCCCGGCGTCCTACCACTAGACTACCGTGCCTCCCTTTTGGTCACAAGCCCAGCGTCCTACCACTGGACTACCGTGCCTCCCTTCTGTCACGAGCCCGGCGTCCTACCACTCGACTACCTTGCCTCACGACCCTTCCGTCACGAGCCCGGCGTCCTACCACTATATTACCGTATAAACGATGTACGTTGTGTAAATATCAAACCTCTGCAACCTAGTAACTAACTCTGATCACGGAATATTTCAATTCCTACTCAAGTTAGACTCAATGCAACTACCAAATGTAACCTGTTTTATTTGCCGATGGATTTGACCAGATTAATATTGCCTGTGCGTATGATTTTGCGGAGGGAGATAACTATTGACACGTTTAAACAAAGATACCACTTGATGAGATATCACATTTTTATTGAAATAACACAAGAAATTGTAAAAAAAAAACCAAAACGATCAATCAGCAAAATATTATCAGCTCACGGTTGCTAGCGGTAGTGACAAGTCATGTATTTCCCTAGAAGTTCTCCCTTCAGCTAACCATTCTGCCTCTTGTGTCAGTATCCACCCCGGTACAAATCGAAAACAACGTTGATTTATATGGTCCTGTCGAACAGCCCCCTGCCATATCAAATTGTTTCGTCCTTTCAAGCTACGTCTGGTTTCCTGTCTAATTCGACATTCAATTACTGCAGCTTCACATTCCAGAAGATAAAGAACCTTGAAATAAAGCGGCTCTCTACTTCGAGCTAGTAAAACGATGACTGCCGTAGACTCGCAGCTGAGCCTGCGCACCGCGTCTAGACATTATTTTCTCGCGATGACGCGTCAGTAACTTTGAAAAAAATCAAATATGACGTTTAAAACATGTTTTTTTATATATTTTTTCTACATAATTTGGCCGTATTAAACTATCAACGTAGACCATCATTTTGTATGATGGTCTTTCAATGACGAACTATATATTTTTTACATTACGTCAATACGTAGACTTGCACAAGCTCCAGAACCTGGGAAAATATCATAATTGACTTCACAAGCTCCAATTATTGAAAAAAAAGTTGATTGAAATAAAAGGATTGCATCTTGCTTTGGTCGATTTCAAGGGGTGATGAATTGAGTTGGTCTTGAAACAAATTCAACAATACCAACTCAATTTATCACCCAACTAAATCGACCAAAGCAAGATTCAATCCTTAAATAACACATTTATAAATGTGCCCTTGTAATTTAATGTGTTACTTTCATTACTTCCGTCCAACAAGATTCTAAGAGAAAAAAAAGACCATTTCATCAAAATATCAAAATATAGTTTCATCAGGCCACAGTACATTTTGGTGCTAGTTTGTCCACCAATCTACATGTACATAATGACGTCATGTAACGGTGACGTCATGATGTCTTTTTTGTTTAAATAAATCTGAAGATCTCTACATGATAATTTAACTATTTTAACAATATTTAATAAAAGTGATTGATTCTTTCTGTGCAAGTATATGCTTTATGCCATGCAACAGTATACTTTTAAATGCATCAATGCAAGTTTAGTATAAACCATATTGCCTTGCCTTGACTTGATTTGACTGAAGTGTTATAGATTTTCAATATAAATTTGTGAATAGTCTTTTTGCAAATCTTCAGCTGTTGCCACTACTTATTTACATACAAAGGAGTGACCAACATGTTACACATAACACCAATTCCTGGTCACTGAGGCATCATTCAAAGATTATCACACTGTATTTTCAGGGTTTGTCGTTAGACCATTTTTCTCATCGCCAGCTCGTGGATAAAATCGAGAGGCCAACGCAGATGAGAAAATTGTTCGAACGACAAACATTGAAAATACTGTATGATAAACAAACTATTTATCATCTTTATTCTACTACCTTATATATTTCTCCATTTAAAAAAGTCAACTAAACACCGTGTTTTCCAAATGACTTTTAAAATCAATGGGTAACGATCGCCTATGACAAACGTAAACCAAAACGTTAAGCGCGAAGGAATACAATGAACTATTAAACTACGCAGCAAAAGATATTTTTAAAACAATCCTATCGTCATTGGCTTTTCCATATGCACATTTATACCTGACATGGTGTTGTTATTCTCACAATATTTTGTCGTATCTTTGTATTGATATGTTTACGACGGACCATTTTCTTACGCGGATCGCTTTTGTGTGGACACTATTTCCGGTTTCGGACGTTGTCTGGCGCGAGCAAACGTTCTTTAATTAGAAAATAAGTGCTGGGGAATGGGAAAATCTGTTCTCAAGTTGTTCTCAAGAGGCGTTCTCAACTTCTTCTCATACTGACAAACAATGATAATGAACTTATCATTCTACCGGTAGGAGGTATACAGTATTATATGGATGATAAAACAGGTTATCAAATTGCAGGTACATGTATTATAAGATGTCACTAACGGTTTCATGGCCAATCATTATAACGTGAAATCCGGCGTTTTATATCGTTATCAAATGGTTATCAAATCATTTAAAATGCCTTCAAATTGCATAACGGGGCATAAAGGATAATATCCAAAACGAGAGGACCCGAACAAAGAAAGAACATATCAAGCTTAAGCTGATACGAACCCAAGTCCGGCATTTATGATATGTAAACTATAACTACAGTGGGAGATGAATGCTTCCTCAGTTTTAGATCGCAACTTGTTTTACCTGAATATTCCAATTTTACATGTGACCCCTAGAACTTCGACAATAATGACATACTCTCCTTATGACGATATTAGGAATCTTCATTTCGCTGTAGCATGTGATGACATCAGTAACCTACCATATGTATATAAAACAGAAGCGACTTATATTCAAACTTGAATGATCAAATGTGAAAATATCTAAAGAACAGTGACTAATGTCAATTCATTTAAGCGTTGAACTGTTACCATATGCAGTATACAGCCGATATGAATGTGATTTGGGTGACAGATACATAGAATGTCGCCCGTTAGCATCTGGTATAACAGTTCAATTTTTAATTAAAGTGGTACTTTCAGTAGGTGATAACGATTCCAAGGACATTTCGTTTAAAACAGATTCCATGTCTAATCAGTCAGATTAGCATCGCTAGCAGTCGACGTTCACAGGGGCTCGGTTTCGTGATTTTGAGTAATGGATGACATCACTGAAGAACCACAACACTTAAAAAGGTATTGATACACATTCTACCCTTGACTTTTACAAGGTTTTATAAATGCTAAATTTTAGCGCTTTGGTTATTCACTGATGTCATGCATAACTCAAAATCTCGAAACCGAGCCCCTGTGTGATGACGTTGACAAACTTAGTAATTTCGTATCTAAATTTTGTGGAACCTACACATCTTATAATAAATTTATATTGTCATCATTTGTCAAACTGCTTTGTTTTTTGCGATAACCTAGGTACATTGCCAAATTCTAACGAACCCAGAATGTTTTCCGACTATAGGCCTATTGATACCGAAAGTATCGGGCGGCCATGTTTGTTTACCTTGTACCAGCTATATTCCTACACTGGCCGTATCACTATAAATTGTAGTATACAGTCTCATATGCTGCAATTTGGTTTACTAACGACATCTAGGCAAATGCAGCACAGAATGTCAATATAATTGTATATCCTGCAAGAATCTAAATTAACTGTTCAGTTTGCTTGATATTTATTTCATTTCCATTTAATGATATTAACAGTAAATACTATATTATTTGTGTATTTAGTCGTATTCTATGAGACGGTGATTTATTATAGTTAGCTGAAATTAAATGCAACTTTTGATGTGTACATTTTACGGTTTTTGGGTGTGATGGTTTATATGAGTTTATAGTTGATATACAAGTGTATAAACCAATAACATGAGCTCGATTGTGTCTCCTACGTATGAATACGCACTATCGATATAGCAAACGCCAGCTATTCAGTATTTTTTTACTTTACAATGCCAAAAAGGTCCGCGTAGCTCGTTGTTTAACGAGCTGTGACTTCAGGCCGTACAGTGTCCATTGTCCAATGTTATACTACAACGGTATTTAAATATTGTTCATTGAATCTCTGCATGGTGTACAATTTGTATCTACTTTTAGTGATCAGGATCACCTCTGGATGTTTACGGGATGGTACATATTTAAAGAAGTAATAAGGTACGTACATTGCAGACATGTTTGATATATAGTAAGGGTATAGTGTGTTATTCAGGAAATTATACTGTCAAATATAAAACTTCATTATCATACAATTTACCTTCTGACATTAGCAACTGTTTTTAACTATCTAGTTAAGTCTCTGCTTGACAACTTCAAATACTAAGTAGATAATCGTAATCGGAGGTGCTCGTTAAGTTATATGTTACTCTGACAAAGAGCAAACCAGCCAAGATGGCGGAAGACTCGGTTTTTGGGAGGTGGACGTGGAATGTACTTTTATAAAATTGATTTTATGGTTCCCAATAATGTCGCTTGTTCACAGATATACAGATCGCATTTCTACCATCAACTAACGCGACCCATACTTGTTTGTTTGTTTGTTTGTTTATGTTTAACGGCCCATCGACGGCTGTGGTCATTTAGGGCCATGGTGATTTATTTATTTTTTTATCTTATTTTAACAAACATGTGAATCGCGAAGATAAAATCAGATAAAAATGGTTCATTTTTAAAAGTATTCGCATTGTATGTGTAGATAATAAAAATAATGATAAAAGGGGGTTAAAATAATAAAAGAGATAACGAATAGATGATATGGAATATGCGGTATATATATAACGTCAAAAATGATAAGGTTGGTTAAAAGACATCAGAGTCTATAAAATAGACCGATATCTTTTAAATAGTTAAATAATGCCTTCGAATCCACGGAACTGAAAAGTGTTTTCATATCCGGGACTCGGAAGTAGTTATCACGAATGTGTTTAAAATCGGAACATTCTATTAAAAAATGCTCCACTGTAAATGGAGTGTCACATGCGTGGCATGAAGGTATATCTTCTCGTTTTAAAAGGTACGAATGAGTAGGATATGTGTGCCCAGTGCGGAGCCGAGCGAGGACAACTTCCTCTCTACGATCTTTCCGACTGGGAATAGATGTTTTAAGTTTCGGTTGTATCTTAAAAAGTTTGTTGTTGGTCTCCAGAGACCAGCGTTTCTGCCATTCATTTTGAATGGCTGTACGAATAGTAGGTTTAAAATCTGTGTATGGTAGTTTGATATTTGTTTGTTCGAGATTCAATGCATTTTTTGCTTCCCTGTCAGCAAATTCGTTGCCTTTTATTCCGACATGGCTCGGAATCCATAGTAAAGTTATTTTAGACTTTTTTAATATACGAGATATTCGAAGAGCAAGGTTTTGTACGATTGTGTTTTTAGGATCTCGTAACTGTAAACTCTGTAGGACAGATAGAGAGTCTGAACAAATAATTGCCTTTTTAATGCGGTGTTCATCGATATGGTCGAGGGCCAAACCAATGGCGCATGCTTCAGCAGAAAAGATGGAGGCGCCGTCTGGTAGTCGGACTGAAGTGCAAGTATTGGCAGTACAGCAGGCTGCTGCCACTTTCTCACCTTCTTTGGAGCCATCGGTGTAAAGTTGTGTATGAGAAGGGTAATTCGAAATGCATTCCCGAAAGGAGGATTTGTGTTCTTCGGGCATAACACTTGATTTCCCTCGCTCATGTAATGTAAAGTTAAAATCGGGGGTTTGAATGGTCCACGGAGGAACATCAGATATGTTAAATTCAGCTATGTCCGTCAATTTTATGTTGAGTTCTTGCAGGAAATTCAAAATTCGGATACCAAATGTTGGCAGAAGTTTTTGGTTTTGCGTAAATATGTTTTGGTATTTGGGGTTGAATACTTGGTTGAAAGCAGGATTTTTAGGGTTTGATTTTAATTGAGTTGCAAATTGTAATGAAAGTTTTATTCTTCTGTCATAAAGGGATGGTTCATTTGCTTCCACGTACAGGCTTTTTACAGGTGTTGTTCGAAAAGCTCCCAGGGCAAGACGTAGCCCTTGGTTATGGATTGGATCTAGCATCTGAAGGTACGAACTGCGCGCTGACCCGTATACCATAGAACCATAATCCAGTTTTGTTCGAATAAGTGATCTGTATAGGCGCAAAAGCATTTCACGATCCGCTCCCCAATCAGTATGAGAAAGGACTCGTATAATGTTTAACGCCTTGGAACACTTATCCTTCAGATACTTTATATGTGGTATGAAAGAGAGTTTCGAATCAAAAATGAGGCCGAGAAATTTAGTCTGTTCAACAACAGGAATTCTAGTGCCATCGAGTGTTAGATTTGGGTCATTGTGTGCTTTTCGTTTTTGACAGAAATGCATGCACACAGTTTTGGATTTAGAGAATTTGAAGCCGTTTTCGTCTGCCCAATTTTGTAGTTTGTTTAAAATCTGTTGAAGTTGTCGTTCTATCGTGTGCATGTTCTTAGATCTGTAACAGATCAAGAAGTCATCCACAAATAACGACCCTTCTGTTGATGGACCAAGACATTTGACTATATCATTGATTTTAAGACCAAACAGTGTGACTGATAGGATTCCACCCTGTGGGACTCCCATTTCCTGTTTAGTCGTTTCAGAAAAAGTTGAACCAACGCGGACTTTGAAGTGTCTATCTGATAGGTAATTAGATATAAAATTGGGAAGGTTTCCACGTGCGCCAAGGTCGTGAAGATCTTTCATGATGCCATACTGCCATGTAGTATCATAGGCCTTCTCAAGATCAAAGAACACGGCAACAAGGTGTTCTTTCTTAGCGAAAGCCTCTCGAATGAACGTCTCTAATCTGACCCATACTTGCATCTGTTATGTAGTGTGTTCATTCTGACGCGCTAATGTTTCCCCATTGTCCTTGGCTTTTCGCCTTCAACGAGATTTATTTTGTTCTATTGTACTACTTTTCCTCCTTGGTATATATCTGTGAAAGTATGACACGGGTGATGATGATGAACAACTCGTTTGTCCACATATAGCCTATCTCCGTATTTAATTATCACTTTCATATCGACACATATAGGTAACCGAATAACAATTTAAGTTCAATTTTTAACAAAGGATGTCGACAAAACCTATTACATGTAGCGACAAAAAATGAATAAATAAGCGAATAAAGAATGTCAAAATAAACAAGAAATTCAACGTTAAATAGAAAATGTTGCACACATAAATAAAGACAGAAATTAGCAAACAAAATATGAGATACAACAGTACGGGGACAATTGCGAGGGTAATAAAGTGTGTAGACCGATACTTTCACCCAGTTTTTACATGTACATTTGTATTAGCTTGTTGGTGTCGATTGCTTCTCTCTAAAGTAGAAGGAATCAAACTATACAGCTGGATATCCATTACAACAAACTCGATCAACGAGCCAATTGACGTAGCAAACGCTATATTAAACGTTGCCTTTATAACAGGGCTGTGTTCCGGCTCACTGACCTGTTGTGTTGTTATTTGATTTGTTTAAGTATGCATTCCTAATCTTTTCAAAGATATTTTACATGATCATTACCTTCGACGAACAAAATGTTAATTGTGTCTAATCACATAGAGGAGACCATGTATAACAACTTCATATGTATTCATGCCGGTTGTTGTATCGGTTGTTGTATGGTGGTGGTGAGAGCTGGAAAAAACAAATGTATGGTAGACTCCCGTGTACATCTGTTGTGTAGCGGTTTAGACGGTACCACAAAGGAACAAATGACAGGCAGTTGTATAGGTAATGTTTTCAACTCTATAATCAATAAATATTTCATGTAAAGTCCACCTTTTTATGAGTTAGAAGTAATCAATAAAGGACAAAGCGATGCATAGTACCGATAACCATTTTGGCTTTGGTGTAGTCATAATTCGCACGGACGGTCATGTTTTATAAATAATGCTAAGTGTCGTCATGTCTCTAGTTTGCTCTTACATTGTCTGTCTCTTTGCACAAGACTTGTTTATTGTCTAACATGAATGTAAGGAACACATTGAAGTACGTGCATAACACATATACAGTGTGGTATTCTATTTAATTCTCTTTAAAAAACATTAGCCTTACATTCTGCAAAAGAAAAAACCTTTTATAGGTCAAATTCCTCAATGATCGTGTTACTGCCAAAACAATTTTTCTTTGGTGTAAGAGGTCCCCAAAGGGGCATATGTTCTTTACAATCCATTTACACCTGTAACAGTTATCTTTTCTTAACTTGTCTCCGGTATCTGATTATCAACGAAGACCGCGTTTTGACATTTATTCATTTAAAATACATATTACAAAAACGCCGAAGCCATTCTTAGGATTGTCGAAGGCAAACAATTAGTTTTACTCAACAGCTGCTTTCATTATTTTTCTGAAAGATGTTATTGGCCCCAGTATTATCACAGTGTCCCCTTCGGCTGTCGATTCGCTCACGCCCCTTTGTGGATACTCATTTATCTGCTAGAATTTGGAGGACCATCCAAACCCCTTTTACATTTTCTGCATGGACAGGTAAAGTAAAAACATGTCCTATTCGAAATAAAATTCATCAGTTTGGTATGAATAATAAAGTTTGGTTTTAAGAAATATCAAGTTAAGAGTGTAATGACTGGTGTCTCAGCTCTAAACCACTGAAAATAACTCACTAATTCACAGTGTGTCGAATCAGTAAATTCATCTGTCAAATATGGAAACATTTCGCCAAAATGCACTCTTACACTGCAGGTAGTCATAGGGACGGGTAATTTGTTAACCCATTCCGTCCCTTAGTTTTTTAATTGCTTTTTTTTTCAAAACAAAATTAGCTCCGTTTTCCTTATATATTTTACTAGGATTGAAAACAAACAAAAGCATGAGTCGTTCTCTTCACATATATAATATGCATTGCTATAGCTCATACTTACAGGTTAGCTTTGATAAACGTCGATACAAGGTAGCTGCATGACTTCAAATTAAATATAAAAATCCATATTTCTTTGTTCTTATCCGTATTCCAGATCCGTGTCCGTATTTGGGTCCATTATTAGGAAAGAAATAATATTTGTAAGTGCTTTAAATCGTCATATGTGTGTTGTTTTAGTGGATTCGGTTGTTTTTACTTCTTGGTCGGTATGTAAATCTGTGAAATTTAACAATCCGTATCTTGTTAATAGACACTTAAAG